CTTATAACTGCTTTTAATGTGTCCCATATGTTTTGGAGACTTGTGTCGTCATTGTCATTCTTCTCCAAGTATTTTTTAATTTCATCTTTGATCTCCTCATTGATCCAATGGTCTTCCAGTAGTGTGGGTTTTAGTCTCCACGTGGTATGCATATGCACTTTTGACAAAGATCCCCTGGGCATACTGGTGCTACTATATTTCTGATTTCTCTGATTTTCATTGATTCATGAGTCTATTCTTAATAGATACAATCTTGATTTCTGTAGCTGTGTAATAAGTCTTGGGTAGACTGAATTCTCCCACTTTATCCGTCTTTTTCAAGATCATTTTAACCATACTTGTCCCTTTGTCTCCCTATACACAGTTTAGATAATCTTGTCTATACCTACAAAAATTTGTTGTATTTTTGACAGAAAGTCCATTAAACCTGTATATGAATTTGGGGAGTTTTGCATGCTTACTATATTAAGTTTTCTAACAAAAGAACATGGCATGCCTTTCTATTTATTTAGGTCTCGATTTCTTTTATGAGTATTCTGTAGTTTTCAGCATATAAATTCTCTAGCTATATTACATAACACCTGTGTATTTTTAAATGAGTGATTTTAAATAGTACTGTGGTTTTGATTTTGGCATCAGTGTGCTCATTTCTAATATAGAAATATGTTATTTTTTAGTGTTATTGATCTTGATGAGCTTACTTGTGGGAGTTTTTTTGGGTAGGTTTCTTAGGATTTTATATGTAGACAATAAAGCTGTGCAAAAAAGAGTAAGTTTTATTTTTTTCCTTTTTAATATGTATGCTTTCTATTTCCTTTTCTTGACTTTCTGCACTGGCTAGAATTGTCAGTTTTATGCTGCATAAGTAAGAATGTACATCTTCGATTAGTTCATGGTCTTAGGGGCAAAGTCTTATACCTTAAGTGAAATCTTAAGGTAACATAGAGGGTTTTTGTAGATATTCTATCAAATTAAAGAAGTTCCCCTCTCTCATTTTTCAGAGTTTTTAATCATGGCTGTGTGTTACTTTTGTCAAATGCTTTTCTCCTTCAGTGATATGACTGTGTGATATCTCTTTTTTAGATGTTAACATGGTGGATTATATTGATTGATCTTTAAAATACTGAGCCAGATTTACATTCCTAGAACATACCCCACTTGGTCATGGTATACATATATGAGTAAAGTTGTTTATTGTATTTATTTATTACAGGGTCTCTAGTGATAGTTTTGATTTTTTCCTGATAGTGGTAACTTGTGTTATCTTTGATTTTTCTCTTTGTTAGTATAGGTAGAATGTGTTCATCTTTTTTTTAACTTGTACAGAATTTTTAATTGAAAACATTAAAACAACTACTCAATAGACTATGAAAAATTTGATAACTTTTATTACATTTATGAGGTATTCATTATTTTTGTGGAGATGTGAAAGAAATTTGCATACTTGTGTTTTCTATTCTCTATTTCATTTTAAAGAAAGATTATGAAGAAGAGATCTAAAATACATATAAATGTAAACCCAGTTGAGTTAGAAGTGAAATATAGAGAGAACAAAATCTATGCACAGCTGTGTCATAAGAATGTAGTGTTTTTAGCTAATGTTTTAGGTATGAAAACAATTTAGTTATCACATGAAACAAAAGCAGATACAATAGTAAAGCTGAATCATGAAAATCCCAATCAATTATTTTTAGTATGATCCTTAGCTTTTCTTTCCCTTGGTTTTTTGTCTTCTGGGCCTGAGTCTTGAACAAGTAATCACTTTAAGAGGTGCAATGGATAAATGAGTCATGGGTCAGCAAACACACAGAAAAAAAATCCAGCCAAAATTATAGATAACCTACATGAAATGTTTAACCATATACCTGTAGATAAACCCAACTATTGTGGAAAAAAGAAAAATTCTAAAACAGGTGTTGAGCTCTGCCTGTTTCTGATAATCCATTTGCATGGACAGTGAGTTCAGCTGATCTAGCATGACTGGCTGAAAGGCCATTGGCAGAATGCAGATGATGGGCAGCAGGGCAAAAGCTGCTGGATTCAGGAACTGCAGGGGTAGGTGTCTAGTTTTGCATATGGTATGGTGGGCCTGTGAAGCAGGTGGGTTTGCTAATTTTATTGATCTCTTTCAAAGAATCAATTCCTTGTTTATTGACTTTTCTCTGTTGTGTTTTCATTTAATTAATTTCTATTCTCCTCTTCATTATTTCTTTCCTTCTGTTTGCTTTGGGTTCATTTTTCTCTTCTTTCTCTAATACTTTAGATGAGAATTAAGATTATTCACTGATGGTGTGACTTTTCTAATGAATGCTTTGCTTTGCAGTGTCCCACAAATTCTGGTATGCTGTACTTTTCCATTTACACTCAGTCCATCCAAACCAGGATTGAACATAATCAGTCTGGTACTTGCATTTTTCATACAACTGGGGTTCATCCTTTGGCTCTCCTAAATTTCCACCTCTTAGTCCCAAGGCAGATGTACAAGTGAGCTTTCTTTAAAAACAAAGAAAAAACTGCCATGGTTAAGTTAGGGAGTAACCACTCACTTCATTAAACATTTTCATAGGAGACATTAAGCTCCTTTTGGGACAGGGAAATTGGTTAAATATCATTAATGACAGCCCTCCCTGGTGGCACAATGGGTAAGAATGCAGCACTGCAACCTGGTCACACATACTTGAGTGGGAGTTCGATCCCTACCCTGGAGGTGATCCCCATGGCTTGGCAGACCTCTCCTGACTCACCTGCTGCTCCCCTCAGCAGTGTACTTCCACAATCTGCCTGTTTTGCTCCCCACTCTGTCTCTGGTGAATCCTCTCACTGCCCCTGTCAGGACCAGCCCTAATCACAGGCTGTCAGAGGGCAGAACAGGCAAGTAGGGTCTTAAGGTGGGAGTGTTGTCGGCGAGCAAAGATTCCAAGAAGGTGGAAAGGGGGTGGGGTGGGCACAAGGAAGACACAGGAGTCAGAGTTGGGTGCAAGTCTTCCTGCTTATCTTTTTAGCAGGTCTTTATACTGTTTAGCAAGTAGTGAGTTACAATAATGCATCAGGTAAGTTAATAAGAAATCAGCATAAAAGTTCTAAAAGAAGAGGGGAACAATGCATCCTCTTCCTGACACTTTACAGCATACTAGACTATACATCTTTGTGATAGCTTTCAAGAATATGGATGTGTAACTATGACTTCAAAGGATAAAGGGTCTGGGAAAGGATAAGCTGTTAGCAAAGGATTTAGGGGTCCTAAGGAAGGAATAAATTGTGTTAGCAGAGTCATCAGTGATTGTCTAAAGAAAAGCTAATGGCTAACTTGAGGCTAGCAGAGAGTAGCTAGTGTTTGTTTTAGGAAAAGGTTAATTAAGACTAACAGAGAGTAGTTAGTGACTGTTTAAGAAAAGGGTAAATTAAGAGGAAGTCACATAGTTATGCATTAAGCAAAACCTGTGTCAATAATGTTAGGAAATTGTCCATGGGTCCTTATGCCCTAGGAGTTTTATCTGAGATTTGCTTTTTGTTTCAAAAGCAAAGAAAGCTTCCCATGAGTCTTGATGCTCTGGGGATCTTATCTCTCCAGGAGCTTGCCTTTTGTCTCTGGATACAGAGGAATTTCCTGCCCTGGGGTGGCTCGTACTTTGCCCTGGCCAGGTAGCCAATTTATGAAGCTAAGGCAATCAGTTGCAAAATGATGTTTGCTCAGAATATTTTTGATATTGTGATTATACAAAAAAGGAGTTCGTAACATAAGTTAACAATGGAAATTCTGATTTTTCAGAGCTTTTCCCTTCCATCCAGAATTTGTTGGTCGACAGAAGTTACATAGCTTGTGTCATGCTCCTGCACCTTTGGCCTGTACCCCAGTTTTAAATCATTAAAAACTTCCCAGAAATACTGAGACAGAGAAACAATGATAGAACTTTTGTTAAATTGTCATTGGTCCCTGAGGCTCTTTTATTTTTTTTAAAAAAACTTTTTTTTGGTAGTTGCTTTTTTGGCTCATTTCTATTGTTTATTTTTAAGTTCATTGAATCTTTCTTTTGCTTCTTCATTCTGTGGCTGAACAATGGGATTTTAAAATTGTGATTACTATATTTTTCAGTTCCAAAATTTTCCATTTAGTTCCCTTTCTATATATTAGTTCTTTGCAGAAGTTACCTATATTTTCATATAATTCATGCATATTCGTATCACTCATTCTCTTCATGAGTACTTGAAAATCTTTGTTAGACAATTCTAACATCTTTCATCTCATGGTTGGCATCTATTACTTCTTTTTCATTCAATTTCCTGTTTCTGGGTCTGACAAGTGATTTCCTATTAAAACTTTCTATTAAACTTCCAAATAACACACTATTTGGTGCATTTTGTTATGAGTCTTCTAACCTTTATTTTAGCTAATTTCTTATGACACTGCTCCAAAGGGGAGGTGAGGGAGTGCCACCTCATTATTTCTAGAATTTCATGTCTCTTACTTAACCTTCACTAATATCTGAGCAGAAAGATCCTTCATTATGGCTGAATGGTGGTGAAAATCCTAATTTCAATAAGACCTCCTCTGAAACTGGCCCAGAAGCTAAGGGTAGGGGACCTCAGGTTTAAGCTTTCCACTTAGTCCTGGAATGGATGGGACTTAGGCCATAGGATTTGTGTGTGTGTGTGTGTGTGTGTGTGTGTGTGTGTGTGTGTGGTATTTGACTGGAATAGTCATTGTCTAAAAGGTTTTTGTATTGCCAGACTGTTCTTTTCCTGGTCTTTGGCTAGAAAAACCAGGCCATTATGATCTATGTCTATCTGCATTACTGGGTTGCTGACTTCTTCTCCAAGTATGGGATATATAAAGCTAAAAAAGGAAACCCAGGCAATCACCATCGTGTCATTCCTTGGGCACCAAGTTCTTAATCAGTGTGCCATGTTCTCTTCACCTTCCAAAGTCTCCAAATATTTGTTTTATATACAGTGGATATAGAATAGAGAAAAAAGGGTACATTTACTCTATTTCCCCAGAAAATAATTCCTCGCTCTCTGGCTTTAACGATGATATTTTCCCATCATTAACTGCTACCAAAAGTAGTCTCTTTCCATACCCCTTTCCTAACTACTTATCTACTTCAGTAATTTTTACAAAGAAGCTGGAAACAAACTCTTGTGAATCCACTTCATTATAAGAGATAATATAAAATATTTTGAAGACTTTTGTCTAAGACTCTCACTTAATGAAATACTGGGGGGACCTGTATACACTCTTGGACAGGATTTTTTTATGCCTCACTATCAGAGTAGCCTGTTCATATAGTATGTTAACATTGTTCACATCTGAAGGCCACTCTAAAAGGACAGAGCAAAACATTCTTCAGTATTCAAAGTGAATAAGTAGCTCACCTTCACTGTCACAGCATTCTAGGATGGAAGGGTCTTCCCGAATCACTGAAGTGAGAGCATTGACATCTCCATTAGATGCTGCCTGATACACCATGGTCAGATCAACTTCCTCAGATGAATCACCTTCATGAATAAACATACCCACAATGTGTGGAGTGAGTTTGCTGAAAGAATAACAACATCCAAAGCATCACTCACACAAGTGATTCATAAAAACTTCTCTGGTAAATTCAGGCAAAAAAAATGAATCATCCTGATCACATGGATGCTAATGACTTCTGAAGAAAGGTGGTCCCTTGTGGGCCATCTTGTAACACCACTGTATAGTGGGAAGGAGACTTAAAAGATTAGATGGTCTCTGTCCTCCCTGGTGATACAGCGGGTTAAAGCACAGCACTGAGAAGCTTAAGCCACTTCCGCATGAGTTCAATTCCCGCCTGCCCCGGAGGTGACCACATGTCACAGCAGACCTCTCCTGGCCCACCTGCTGCTCTCTTCAGCAGTGTACTTCGTCCATCTGCCTGTTCTGCTCCCCAATCTGTCTCTGGTGAATCCTCTCACCCTCTGCATCTCTGGCCTGTACCTCAGTTCTGTATGAATAAATAAAACTTAAAAAAAAAAAGATTAGGTGATCTCAGAGATTGATTTTACAGGCATTTAGGCTACTTGCAATCAGTGAGATCATAAATAAATGGAAACCTCATGTTATCTGTAGGTTTCCCTTTTAGACTTGAAATGTGTTACTTTTACTTTCAATGACTCAGTTTATCTACCTTTGAAGGAGACATTGTGCTCCTTATTCTCTGTTCTACAGATTCATTCCCTATCCATTTCCATCCTACTCTAAGACCTGAGGGATGCCCCTGCTGACCATATGGCCCCTGCTCTTTGCCTTGCCCATGGGAGATACTGGCAAAAGAATGGTGGGGAGGAGAGCATGAGATGGGCACTTCTTCCTGCCTTCTCCCAGTGCAGTGAGCAGCATTAGTTGCTTCTTGCCCATCTGAGGATCTTTCTCCCAAAAATCAGTTTTCACTGTGCTCCCTTTAAGAAATGAATACCTTTCCCTCACCCTGCCTCATCTCTATATATAGTCCCTTCAGAAAAGGCCCCTTTATTTGAACAATCTGGAGTTTCATGACATGGTGTTTCCAGTCTGTTGAGTTGTGTGCCACTCTTTTGAGTTTGGTAGCTACCTGTATTATATCTTTGTACTACTAACGAACTGGGGATCAAATGATAGCAGTGGAGCATTGCAGCAATGGGAGACAAGCTTTGCTCACAGGAAAACCTCTAATGAGATGTTATGCTGGCCCCTTTGCATAGGCAATTCCTCCCACAGATAGTCATTGTTCAGGGAAAACATACATTCAATAAACATTTTTAAAAGTTGTGTTTTTCTACTAGTGCCAGAGATAAGTATTTAAAATTCTAATTGATCTTTAGTTGACAGTGGTCCTAAATCTATGGCTTGGTTTTTCTACCTCAGTATTTCTTGGAAGTCACACATGATTTTTTTTTGAACAAGTTGACCTGTCCCAGGAAGAGCTTAATTATTAAAAACTATTCACTGATGACAATGAACTGTGTTGTAAAGTAAATGGTTGTTTCCTCATTTATCCATGGTAGATGATGTTGTTGAAGCAGATTTACCTGTACAATGACCTGAGGGCTGAAAGTGGGATATGAGGGGTGTAGGATCAAATGTGGCAAGTGCAAGGACTCTGGAGCGATATAACTTGGGTTCAAGTCTCACTTGTACTAGCTGGCTGTGTAAATCTGGACCCACACTGAGCCTTAATTTCCTTGTCCTTAAAGTGCAGATGATGATATTGTTTATGATAATCACCTATCTCATTAGGTCATTGTGAGGAATAAATGAATTTTTAAACATATGTGCTTTTAGAACAGGGCATAGTAAATGCTATACATGCTTTGCTACTACTACTGTTACTTGGTGTGAAGATGTATGTTTAGAGGAATTAAAAATTGGAATTGTAGCTGACCAGTCTCAGCTAGCCAGCCACCAGGAAGTGTGCTGTACAAGAAATTCAGACAGTTGAAGGACAGGGTGGAGAAAGGGAAGATGTGTTAGGCAGAAAGGGAAGATGTGCTGGCAGAACACAATGTACTTCAGGGTTATTTTAGCCCTGCGATATCAGTCTAAACCACAGTGTGATTGGGAAATAGGAAATGAAGGCACTCCCCTCCAGGTTGTGTAGAAGTAGCCAGTTTGAGTTGTGTTTTATGTAAGTAATACGACCCACAGACCATAAAAAGAATTCCAATAGAAATGTGAAGGGTGATACCACAGGTACAGGAGAACGACTAATGGTCCTTCCAGTTTTCAACAGGAAGGGGCAGAGGGACTTCTCATTACCACCAGATGGGGATGCAGATCCAATCTCCCCACAATTGGCCTTGTTGGAGCAGCAGCAAAGTCTGGAATCAAACAGTGCTAAGAACATCTATTTTCTACGGAAGATCACAGAGCCTTTGGAGATAAATAATTCGTATTTTTTTCTCCACCCCCCCTTTCTTCTTTCCTTATTCCACATCATTATTCTCATCATCTATCTAGCATGTATCTTTCTTCTGATGCATTTTAGGGTAGGAACGTTGTTTCAAAGCTTTTGCCTGTCTAATTGCAAAAGTTACACAGATATATTTATGTATGAGGCCATAAATAGAAATTCTATAATGCATACAGAGGGGGAGAGACTGAAAGTAGAAAAAAATGGAAAAGAAACATTAAGAGAAAGGAAGGAAAAAGCATGTGGAGATATATAGTTTGCATTTTATTAAAAATACGTGTAAATAGGGGCTCTCCCTGGCAGCACAAGGAGTTAAAGCACTGCATTATAAGGCTCTCTGAAGCCACTGCAGCATGAGTTCGATCCCCTGCCAGGGAACTGAACCACATGGCATGGCAGACCTCTCCTGACCGTCCCGCTACTCCTCTCAGCAATGTATTTCAGTACATCTTCCTGTTCTGCTCCCCCTCAGTCTCTGGTGACTCCTCTCACCCACCATACATCTGGCCTGTACCCCAGTTCAGTAAGCATAAATAATAAACAAATCGTTTAAAAAATGTGTAAGTATATGAAAAATGTTAAAAACTGGAAAGACTTGCATCAATATCAATGAGATAATGTGTTGGATATTCTTCAGAATTGTCTACATTTTCCATATTCTCTATAACTAATAGGTAACTTTTAAAATCATCAAAGTAAACCAAGTTTTTTCCCTTTAAAGCACAAGGAGTAGCTTTACTTTAATTTCCTACTACTGAAAGGGTAGATGTCTTATCGGTTTTTAACTGAGAAAACAAGTCCTTGATATTTGACAAAGTTTTGGTAAAAAAAATATGTACTTTCTAATTCTGACCTTTAAAAATATCCTAGTAGATTAAAAAAGGTACAGATTTGCAGATTTTTAAGTAATTTTTTACCTAAAAATTGGAAGGATAACTTTCTTGAAGTCATGTATTTCCCTCATTTTTTTGGATAACCTGAATAACCTGAACAAGTTTTTAGATGTGTCATAAATTATCTACCTAACTCCCTCTCTCAAGGATCGCTTTACTGCTAGGATTTCAGACATACAGAAATGTTTTGGATTACCAGATGTGGACTCCTTTTCTAGAATTTCCTAGGGTGGACTTCCTTGAGAAAACCCTTGACTGCATCCCTTATTCAGAGGTCAGTTTGACATTTGTTCTATTTAAACTGTGATCATTTTGTGAAAGGGTCAGGTTAATAGCAGGATAGATTAGCTATTACAGTTTCAAGAATACAGACCAGATTGGTCTAGAGAGGCTTTCTTTGGTTCATTATAATTCGGAGGAGCCTTGAGTGACGGAATCCACCTTAAAGCCATTCATGAAGTTCAAATTCATTTTTGGCCACAGAAGACTATGCAGACTGCTCTTAGATGCACTGCCTCTCAAGAACTGAGATTTCTTTCTTTCTTATTATTTAATATCTACCATGGACTAGTGAAATTGTGGATACAAAGGCTATAGAGTCTCTGTCCCTAAGAAGGACATGCCTTAGTGGGAAGACAGGTATATAATTAATTTATGATTGAGGTGTACTACGAATATTATGACAGGACATGAAGAGTCACTTAAATAATACTTTCCTGTAGATTCTTTTAGTCCAGGTTCCTCTCTATTCCTGTAGGGTTATCCTGAGTGCTGGGAGATAGAGACATTGCATTTGGGGGGGGGGGTAGCTTGAAATGACCTACCCATAAAGACCTTTCCATTAAGGAGGATGCCAAGCTTTCACTGTCTCCCTTTGGCTCCATGTGACAACATTGCCACCCACCGGTGATGAAGAGTCTCTGTAGGCCTTGACCAGGGCCCTGAACCAGATGGTATTTAAGGTAGACTTAAAATCCAGTCTGGAACACTGCCATACAGGAACATATTTAAGGTCACTTATATAGTTGACTGGCATTGAAATAAAATAAGTTTCATGTGACTCTTATCATGTATATTACATGATATGCAGCATGCAGACAGGGAGGTAATATAGAAAAAATGTAAGAGCACAGACTCATCCCACAGAGCATGAATCCTGGCATTAACATTCATTTGGTAGCTATGTGACCTTGAGTGAGTTGCTTTACTTTTCTTTCCCTATTCTTTACCTGTCAATTGAAATAAGAATAGTATTTACCTTGTAAGGTTGCTCTTAGAATTATGAGTTAATCCATATGAAGTTACTTTAGAGCAATAGCTGGCACTGAGTTAGCACTCAACGTGTATAATTATTATCAATATTACTATTCTGACATAGATAGGAACCTCTGTATTCTTTCCCCTTAATAAGAACTTTTCTCTTACTCAGCAGGCTGTAAAAGTTTTGTGCACTGAAATATTTTATTTCTCCTGTTGTCTCCTACAGGCCCTCAGAGTGTACAGGCAAGGTTTTTCTGAGTGTGTTATAAAGTGCCAGTCATATGGGAGGAAGTGAAAGTTTTTTCTTTTAAAGAGAAAAATAGCTCTAAGCTTTCTGCATGTACTAGCTGAGAGAACAAACCCTCAAAGCAATATTCATGCCATGGCAGTGGAAAAGAAGGGATTTTATTTTGTGGGGAGGAAGTCTTGCAACACA